GAGTTGTGCGGGGAGGGAGAAGCGGACAGCAGCGAGGTCGGAGACGCCAATAAACCTGAGAAGGACGGAGTTAGCTTTCGCGTGTCTGCTGTGACCAGATGGTGCTACGTTACCTCCTCAAAATGCCCAGGAAGGTCTTGAACTTGGAGCTGTCATCCGGAGCCTTCTCCACGGCAGCGCTTGACGGTGTGGCAGCCCGCGAATTGTCCCGCGAGTTGAGGGCGGACGTGGTTGCAGAGCCCGGTTGGGCCTTCTCTGGCGCAAGGTCCGCCATGGTTGCTGGGATATGGGTTTTACTCAAGAGAGTAATAGCAAGTGGAGATAGAGGCGCGAAGCTATATCTAGGTAACGATCGATGATGTCGTCAGGTGTTGAGGCGGTGCGCTTTTCGGGTTCCCTTGGCACGCGCCGGAGCTCTGACGTAGCGCAGCCGATAGCCTTCAACCTGGTCGCAGCGGGGTAGTGGAGAGAAGGGGGAGCAGTAGCAGGTGGAAAACAGCATGCACATGCAAGTTGGGTGGTTATCTCAAGTTGCAGGGGCTGCTGTTCTTCTGCTTAGCGTGCCGTTATCGTACCTCTAATCCCAAGATGCGCGTCTGCTGCAAGGTCGAAACGCGCAATAGGGACATGCATAACAGATCGTGCATCGCTTGATTGGGTGCAGTCTCGCCACCCGACTCTCCCCCCTACCAGGTTTCACAACTACAAATAGCCCACTTCACACACGTGGAACCGCATGAGATGTGTAAGAGAACTCATGATCTATTTTGCTGAGACGCAAATCCATCGACTCAAGCGTGATGCTGCAGCCTGACGTTCTCGCTTCCAATAAATGCACACAACGACGCCAAAGCTCCAGTCGTGCAGGCTAATGCGTGATCGATTTGATCGACAGTGCAAATGACCGTCGGCCGCCCCTAAACGCCGTCCATCGTACCCTGCGCTATCGTAAAGTCATCAATCATCCCATTCCCGCCATACGCCAATCTCGCAGGCCTTGGGCGTGTCGGTGTAGATTTCCACATCGTACCATTCCTCTACCGGTCCCCCAGAGCCTGACAGCCTATCAAGAACGAGCCATAGTTCGCCTTGCATCCCGAGCTTCGGATCGATGTTGACGCTCTCGGACCGAACCGTAGCAGTGTCAGAGTACTCTCCTTGCTCACTTGCGATGATGAACTTGCGCTCCGGGCCTCGACCCATCTCGACACTCAATCGGAACGGACTGCGCGCTAGCTTGCCCAAATCGACGGCGCGAGGGCTCGTTGCTTTCGAGAATCTGGCGATGATGGTATACGAAGCTAAGCGCCTAGGCCACAATGGGGCAGCAACCTTATGTATGCTGGCACCAAAGCACGCCGGAGCGAGCTTCATCGAGAGCAATCCCGCCCCGTCGCGCGGCACTTGCTTCAACACCACCTCGCTTGTGCTGTCAACTCGGAGTTGGTAGTCACCAGTCAGACCAGCTTCAAACAAGGAGCAAATGATTGTGTAGGAGCCTGGTTGAAGGTCTTTGATCTCTGCGAGGACACATCCACTGCGATGGTCACCCGAGTCTGCTAGCACATCGCGACTCTGCAAGCGATATAACCTCTTTCCGTATCCTAGAGCAAGTTTGACGTGTAGGGGATGTTCATGGTTCGTGCTGGTGAGTAAGATGGCCAGCGAGCTACGCTCGCGGACAGTGAGCGAATACTGAGGATTGTCGAAATATTTCGATGAGTCTGTACCACCACCGGCCGTCTGCCTTGTCCATGCACCTTCCTCAGTCTTCTGCGACGGGTACCGCTGCGCCGCCTGTTCCAGCGTAATCGGAAAGTTCGCAAACGCAGACAAGGAGAAAGTGTACAGTGATGGAGGTAAGTCATCTTGATCGATCACCACTGTGTATGTCGAGTTGGCATCCGCGTCACTGCGAAGAAGACATTGCGGTGTAGTAACGTAGTCGCTCGATTCCAGGTATGTGTCCTTCATGTATAGGCGTTCTCCCTGGCCGTTGCAAATGTATATGCTCATGTATCCCTTCGGTGCATCCCCTTGGGTGTTGACTTGAGTGTCGGGACGAATGCTTCCGTCGTTGAACGCATCTGACTCCTCTTTGGTGACTGCTGGTACGTCCCGGAAATGGCGACTAAGAAGAAACCATACAGGTCCAGCACCTTTGGACGTAAAGGCGAATTGTGGATGCTTGACAATGCAACCGCCTGGCGACGATGACTCTATGTTCCACTCGAAATGAATGTCTTGTCGATAGCGGAAAAGACCAGGGTTCCAATTCAGATACAGGCTCTCGAAGTGTTGTATGACCTGCTCCAATCCAATCCAGAATGTCGTCGGATGCGGCCGATCCTGAGTGGGGACACTATCCCTGTGATAACTCTCAAGGCTGTAATTAGAACCACGACTGGAGGTAGACGCAGGCGGATCCATGGCCGTCACAGCCGAAGGGCGAGGACCGCGCCAGCCTTTGCCTTCGACCCATGGATTCTTGATAAGCAACAGACGATCATGCTCCGTCTCCCTCATGTCCAGCACGACGTAACTGTGTTGGCCCTCGAGACCAAGTTCACGCTCCTGCCTGGTCGACATCTTGCCAGTACCTGCTGTGACCAGAACATCGCCGTACAGGAAGGCGGTGTGTATGCGCTTCCATATCTGATCCGGAACCGTATCGGCCCTATAAGAGTTAGTATGGTCAGCTATGGGATTAGAGAAGAAACAACTTACTCTTGCAAGAAGACCTGTTCTGGTATCCAGCCCGTCAAGGTCCAGAGATCACTGCACGAGTTGCTTCCAGGGAAATCGTAACCGCCGCGAACTTTCAGGTATGCTTTCTCAAGTAGTGCTGGCCATAAGAGGGCTGGATTACGGCGGTCGAAGACATGAAGCAGACGATGTGTCTTTGAGACTGGTAGTCGATCATCGATAACCACCTTTCTCCAACAGCCGTTGAAGTTGAGTCGTACGATGTACTTGCCATTAGATGAGGTTAACGGCTTTCCAAGGTGCTTGTCATATGGATATATCTTGTTCGTGAGCATCTGCCACATTTAGTACCGAGACTGCAGAATTTCTGGGGATGGCAAACCTGATCGTGACCGCGTTCTGAGCGAGCAATACCAGCGCATAAGCTTGTGACCACCGAGCAATCTGAAGCTGCATCCTGTACAAGATCGAGAGGCCTCGTGCTAGACATCAGGGGCCCGATACCAGCCCTACCGTTAGGGAACTGCGAGGGTGGCGGCACAGCTTCTTTGGCACGCAGCCAACCGAGAAAGAACTGCTGTTGGTATGAAGACAGACTCAGATCTCGCGTATCCCTGTCGCTGTCAGTATGTCTGAACACCCCCAGTATGACCATCAGGTAACGTACGTGTAGGCAGCCTCGCCTTCCGACACGAATTCATCCGCAGATGGAGTCTTGTCCCAAGGTGGAAACTTGAAGCCATTGACTGTCGAAGCCTTCAACAAAATGATGCTTTCTTTTGTGGGTAGTTTCCTGCTCGAAATCGGCTCTCGTAGCCTGTGTATCTGAGAATAAGGTGCGGTTGAGGGCGTTAGAGCTGCTGTTTGCGACTCGGGTACTCCAGGCTGGGACTCTGCGCTAGAGGGCTGTGACACTGCAGATGAATTCAACACGGATTCGTGTCCGTTCTTCGGATGGTTGTCACGGTCAATGTTGGCGTTTGAGCTATCTTCGTGTGACGCATCAGTGACTGCACTTGGTACATCGATTGGAAAGGCGTCATCCGAAAGATCAATAAGCGGCATTAAATCTCGGCGCGCATCTTGCTGGAAAGAAGGAACGGCTGAAGAGAGATCTGACTGATGAACGAATGCTGAGAACGAAGAAGCTGATGATTTACCTGAAGCTGCTGGACCGTCGATAGGTCCTGTAGTCGAAGAAAGAGCCCAGCGGGACGTGTTTGAACGCGAAGTCGAGTCTTCAAAGGTTGTACCTGGGGTTGCAGTCCCGGCAACCTCCTTGGCCCATTGACCTACTCGCTCATCTCTGGAGCTGGAGGACTGGGGTTTGACTAGAGGTGTCCATGTGTCATCGGCCTTGATGCGATCGGCACGAGTCAACATCTCGCTGCATTGCGCCTTGAGCTCCTTCCTTTCGTCTGGGTTTGACGATAGTTGGATCGCCTCCATGAGGTTCTCGGCCACGCTGATTGCAAGACTGAATGCTTCATCCTTGGTAGTGGCTTTGTCAACCCGCGAGCGATAGTCCTGGTAGCTTGATTAGTTGGGACTACAACGCGGGACTTGATGTTGCAGCGAGAAGTTAGTTGTCTGTATCACATACGCTTGCGGCCGCCTTGTAAGCCTCAATCTCAGTAGCCCGGTCAGCCATCGTAAATAGCTTGAGACAGGACACGGTAAGAGAAATTTGACCAATACTAGCAGCGACGACGAAGCTACTTGCGTTGTGCCATAGCGATGCGACTGACTATGGGTGAGTGGAGTCAAGGCGCACTAAGAAGCTGTGATGGTGCTTTGGTGTTGTGATGTTGTGATCTGGGGCGGAGTCTTTAGCGCGACGCACGTTCCTGCCAAACGGCCGTCGCGACTGCCAGTTGCAGCAGGAACAGCCAGTTCCAGCGCATAAGTGACGAATCTAGACGTCTCCTTCCACGTGAGAGGCATGTCCAGCCAGGCACGGCTTGCTCACTTTCACCGAAGTGATCGACAGCGGCTGCGGTGAAGGAAGGCCCAAGGGAGCAGGGTGTGTCGTCATCCGAACCTGAACCTCGGCCTCTAGGACCTCGGGAGAGGTCAGCCATGCATGCGACAGCGCTATCGCGTTGCGGGCACCATGAACGTCCCCTGCCCGCTTTTTCTAACTTCCGATGCTGCTATCTCCAGTCTTCAGATTATTACTGTCATGATGAGATAGTCCGAATTAGTCGCTGATTCCACACCATATCCTCCGCCCGTCACACACTCCGCAGTCGCAACACTTCGCCAAGCCTTAGCAACTGTGCTCGACTACCACTATGGCCGGCCAGTCAAAGGTAGAAACTCTTCCACCATGGGGTAATGCTGTCGCAGGCGCCGCTGGTGCCGTCATCGCAAACACCCTTGTCTACCCCCTAGATTTGTACGTCGCAGATTCCCCGAGCCTTTTTGGGCAGAACGCAAAGATACTAACACAACCTCAGGATCAAGACGCGACTACAGGTCCAGGTTAAGCGCTCGCCTACGTCCAACGACCCCAATCCCGCCGACCACGAACACTACGATGGCGCCATCGACGCGTTGCAGAAGGTCTTTGCGCAGGAGGGTCTTTCTGGACTATACGCCGGCATAGGAGGCTCTCTGCTCGGCGTAGCATCGACCAACTTCGCTTATTTCTACTGGTATACCGTTGTACGCAGCCTCTACATGGCGAACCGCACGCTTCAAACGTCACCGAGCACGCCGGTCGAACTCTCCCTTGGAGCGCTCGCGGGAGCGCTCGCCCAGCTTTTCACAATCCCGGTCGCAGTCGTAACGACGAGGCAACAGACCATGAGCAAGGCGGAGCGCAAGGGCATGATCGCTACGGCTATGGACGTGGTCAACGGCGATGACGGCTGGACGGGGCTTTGGCGAGGACTCAGGGCGAGTCTGGTGCTCGTCATCAACCCATCAATCACATACGGAGCGTACCAGCGATTACGGGAAGTCATGTACCCAGGAAAGAAGACGCTGAAGCCCCTCGAGGCGTTCCGTAAGCCATGGCCACTACCATAACTCAAGGAAAGCTACTAACATCTGTCAGTCATCGGAGCCATGTCCAAGACGCTTGCCACAATCGCAACCCAGCCGCTCATCGTCGCGAAAGTCGGTCTTCAATCGAAACCTCCACCAGCCCGGAACGGAAAGCCTTTCAAGTCCTTCACCGAAGTCATGCAATACATCATACAACACGAAGGCCCGGCGGCGCTATTCAAGGGCATCGGACCCCAGATCCTCAAGGGCCTGCTCGTCCAAGGTTTCCTCATGATGACCAAAGAGCGCATTGAGCTTTCCTTCATCTTGCTATTCCGATACTTCCGCCAAGTACGCGCCGAGAAGCTCCAGAAGCTGGCGAATATTGCGGCAGAAAAGGCCGGTAAGGCAGCACCGATACTGGCCAAGTAGGCCTTGGCTTGCTGGCATATCCTTACCTTCATCTCAAGTGTATATATTCGACTTTATACTTGGTTACGGAGGCGGATTGGCCGAGCGTTGTGTTGATTTCAATCTGGCGTTTGGCATTGATTGTTACCGCGGTTATACACATAGTCTGTCTTGTAAGCATTCTTGAATTTCTACCATTGTGTACACTGTGCTGGTGATGTGTCATGACCATCGTTGCGGCCACGCTAGCGGAGGCGCCGTGCGGAGGCTGTGAAGAGATCCGAGCAACAATGTCCATTCACGCAAAGAAAACCTTAACTAGAACGCCACACTAAGTCTCCGCTAAGGTGCCACTATATCACACCGGTCTTCGTTTTAGCGCTTCTTACTTCTCAGGTTTATCAACAATTAGGAACACTGCCCAGGTGATCACGCACATTAGACTTACAACTCATTGGTATCGCTGTAGCTCCAATACTTTACTCCTACCACCTACTGCAAATCCACAGCATCCGTAACTACAGATGTGCTACCTCCGACCTACAAAGTACGCATGCGGCCATGTTTCTCCTATCCACAAACCAGGCCGCCAACGCCCAAGTGCCGAAGAGGATGCTAATCAATCAGACCCATACGCTGAGGTAAGATCCGAGGCATACGAAATGTATATAAGACATATACTGACTTCGATATAGTGGCCAACACATGACGACACTACGTTGAACGGGTGCCAGGATTCTAATCGTAGAGGTGCGCGATGCCCGGACCTTTTGGAGAACTTGGAGGTGGTATATCAAGAGGAGGAGGGCGGCGAGTGTGATGAGTGTAAGGCGAAGAAAAAGTGCACAGTCTTGTAGGGGAAGATGGAGTGAGCCGATTGAGGGTACGTGAAACAGCTATGAATCACGTTGATAGGAAGGTAGGTCTCATAGTCGCGGTACAAACTGCGTCTCATCGGTAGCGATGCTCATAGCAGTGTCATGTAATCTACGAAGATATTTGTGCGGGTTGACAAGTATCCTCCAGTCGGCTGCCGAGTAATGACATATCCATGTATGCCGATGTACGCGACGGTACGTGAGTTAACCATGCCATCTAGAGTCTCCTTCCCACAGGCCCAGCCCGAGAGCCTCCTGCTTGATAGCATAGTACCTGTCTCGCTCCTTAAGCTGATCTATGTTAAATGTATTTCGACTTTACAGAATGGTTCCACTTACCCTGTGCTCCGTGGCCTCACGACTCTGATCCTCATAACTAGGATTATCCCAGCTTTCATCGTACTCGGTTTGTCGGCGAAAAGTGAAGAGCCTAGGGAAGCCCTCGTCATCGTGTTCCTGTCTTTCCAGCATGTAGGTATCATTCCACGCCTGGCGGTCCATTTGTGGAGAGTAAACCGACTCGAGAGCTCCATCGTTTCCACGTACGGGGTACCACGGCGTGGTCTCGCCAACGCGCACCAGGGACAGCGTTTCGAGTACATGGCAGTGTTCGAAGAAACTCCTAGCTACGAAACTTTGCTCTTCGTCGAGCTCATGTTCCCAATACATATCCCCAACGGCGCTGCCATCTCCTGAATCGTCATCGGAGAACTGCTCTTCCTCATCTTCATCGGTGATCTCTTGCCTGGCAGTAATGGAGAGATTGGTGAGCCTCTGAAACAAGCCGAAAGCGGTTGCGAAACTCTAAGTATAAATTAACATGAAAAAACGTTACAACGAGTAGCACTATGCGCTCGTACACTGATCTGTTCATGGCCAATTGCGCCTCTCAAGACCAAGCTCTGGAGATCTGGTAAATACTGGTGCAAGCGTTGTATGTCTTCCAGTTGCCACGCGTCACAGCAAATTTCGACAAGTTTCAATCTCTTGAGAGTTGCGACCGTCTCCATCAGACCATCGTGACCAAGGTTGTACTCAAGAGCCAGTGTTTCGGTGTTAGGACAGGCCTCCACCAGGAATGACCAGTCGCCATGTGACAGAATGCGTAGACGTAGGACCTTGGGAAGAGTAACTTCATGGCGCTGGAAGGTCGCTCGTAGGCCGGATATATCGACGTCCTTACGATGTGTAATGGACAGCTCAACGAGAGACACCATCTTCGGAAGAGCCTTGGCAAGTCGAGTCCTGCAGAATGTTGTCTTGCCTCTCGACGTGGTGACTATATCACAAGCCCTTTGGATTTATGAGATTAGCATAGAAACGACCCGAATGCCCAAACTATCCATAATACAGACCCATACATACTTGATGGCTGGTAGAACCTCAGGAAGGGATGGAATAAGCGGATTGCCTTCCAAATCTCTCAAGCGTCGATTGAGGGCGCCCATGGAAGAGGCGCAACGGAAAACATGCGCGAAAAGCTTGGGAATAGAGATTGCTCGCATTCTCTTGCTCACTAGTGACAGGCAGAAAAGCGAAGTGCCTTTAGCACGAAAGCCAAAGCCCGTCTTCGGTTCCTTGCGCCCGATATTCCAGTTCCAGTGGCAGACCTGCATTGTGGATTCCTCGTGAATGTAGTCTATAACGATGGCAAGAACATCGTTATTCAGACCATCAAGGGTAAGTTGCTGAAACGGGACTGCCTGGGGACAATGCAGTCCTTGCACAGGTGCTGATGTCGGTTGTGGTGGAGTTGGCGGACGAGAGGGCAACCATTGTAGAGCGTAGGGATCTGAAGATCGCAGTGCTGGTGTCAGAACGGGGACCTGCTGGGAACCTCGAGTCGGGACTTCTGTGGAATCCTCCAGCACTTGTTGAGGCTTATGCGGATCAGGCGAAGCTGCTGTAGGCTGAGGGGATGAGTTTGTCATGGTTAGTGCGAGTGATCAACTTCCACCGAGTGGATTCGTATGCCTCAGATGACCTCGAAGGACCTGCTGCCGTGAACGGCTGCGTCTCGGTACGAAATGAGCTGGGAAGAAGAGTGCTAAGAGAAGATGAGAGGAAGCTGGTAGACGCGTCCGCCTAGGTGATTGCTCGCGTGACTAGCGCGTCACTCTAGTCCGCATTTGGTGAAAGGCCCTTCCAAACCCTCTCGGGTCGCCCTTCCGTCATTCTGTGATGGGAATGCCTAGGTGTAAAAGTTCCAGCATACAAGACGATACAATCTTCCGAAGAGCAAGACAAGTCGGCGCTCACGCGAGTTTGATTCGAACCTCACCACAAGATGGATGTGTGCGCGGGCGCCGACATGATCTCGAAATGCAGCAATCAAGCAGGATACTTTCGCATGTATGCTTACGAGATATAGGTTATAGCTTGCCACTCTCAAGCTTCAGCTGGAATCTGAGCGGGCTTGTACGCAATACACGGTACAATAGTGGAAATGGATGTGATTGACGTCATCGATACAAGGGCATGTCATACTAAGGTCAGTAACTATACAGTCTGTTTAAATGTACCCACCTCGCCAGCACACTCCCATCCCAATAGCACTCTGTATCTACCACAATCATGTCCGAGTCATCAAATCAATTACCATGGCATTCCATACCGTCATCCACCGCAACATGCAAAGTCCACCTCATTCAGGCCGGCGGCATCCACATCCCTACAGACATGGTCTTGCTTCCCGGTCCGGACAAGCCGCAAGACCCGAACGACTCTAAAGACGAGAATGGAAAACGCAAGTCGTTCTATGCTCCAGATTACGTGTTCCTCATCGAGCACACAGCCACCGGGAATAAGTACATTTTCGACCTAGGCATGCGAAAAGATCTGGAGAACCTTCCGCCTCTTCTCGTCGAAGGCGCTTTACCAAACTTCAAGTGCGAGCCAAAGTCTCCAGCCGAGATACTGCAAGAGCATGGATCACCTGATCAACAGCCCGACAAAGTCAACGCCGTTATCTTCTCGCACATGCACTTTGATCATGTTGGCGATGGAGCCAAAGCTGGGTTTGAGGAGGCGGAGCTGTGGGTTGGACCGACCTGCTGTACCTACGCGAGACCGGGTTATCCGGTCGACGAGAAGGCTCCTACGCTTAGCGAGACTTTGCCGGTTGATGGTAGCAGAAAGATTGTGGAGAGCTATGTACCAGACGATGTTTTGAGAGAAGCAGGAGATAAGAGGGCAGGTCAGGTCATGGAAGGCTTGGTAAAGGGAAAGTACGCTGCTGTCGATCTAAAGAAGCCTGAATGGATTGGTCTCGGTGCATTTGATCGCGCATATGACGTCTTCGGTGACGGCTCAGCATACATCGTGGACGCGCCAGGACATTCTCCGGGCCATCAAATGATGCTAGTGCGAACAACATCGAGCTCGAATGACAAAGAGAGTACGTTTGTACTGCTCGCTGGTGACTGTTACCACCACCTTGACGTTCTCAAAGAGCCCAAGCGCACTGCGAGACCACCATATGCGAAGTCAGGCATGCACGCCGACCCAGAACAGGCAGTGGATACAATGCTGCGCACGAGAGAATATTCGCGGAAAGATAACGTGTGGGTCATTGGAGCCCATGATACCAGTGTCGGCGAGGGCATCAAGCCCGGAGTGAGGGAGATAGAAGGATTGGTAGAGATTAACGATTGGTCAGCGAAGGGTTGGAAAAAAGGAATGTAGAACATACCAAAGTATCACGATGACCAATTCATCGTAAGCAAACTATAGGGTTCACCCTCCATCGATCATCATATTTGTAATCATTCACATGCTCCGACACCAAGCTCTTGGCTCCCGAGACACCAAAAGCTTGACCACCGTCTCCTCTCCCGAGTTTGCGTCACACTGTCCGCGGCCCACCCATGACCACCGCGTCCTGACAAGGACCACCCAGCCCCATCGCTCGGTAACAAGCGTAGATCCCGCGGAGTCCGAGCATTGCCGTTACCCGTGGCGAGGAGCGGTTCATCTCGCGATGCGGCACGCAGGGTTTCGGAGTGTTTGAGTGGCTTGGACGCATGAACGACAGTGGCGTGATACTGGTACTTGGTATCGACGGCTGCCTGAAATCTGAGGGAACCAGGCTAATTAGGCTGATCTTGGAATTGGCAAGTCTGGACAGGTAGATCGACATGGGAT